CACGGTCGCACGTGATAGCATGGACAATTCAGCTGATATTGTGCTCTGCGGACCTAGCGGAAAATGCGAAAGATACCCTATGCCGGAACGTTACGATATACGGGCGTTGTCGATACGAGGATAAAGGTATCTGCCTTACTACTACCAGCTTGGGCCAAATATCCATCTAACGCCGGACGTGGCAGGATGCGCATTCAACCATGACCCTCACAAAGTGAATTCATATGCGGACAGGTGGGCACCCTCGAATCGGCGCAAGAGCGATGCGCGAGTGGGATTATACGTTGTTTGCAGCTTGCTGACGTTTGTGGCTTAGGAAACGCTTGAACGTTGACTCTCCGAGCTTTACACCTACATTACTATCTTCCAATGGATCCTCTCCCACTATCGCATCTGCAACCATGAAAAAGACGGCAACAATATCACCCAAGGCTGCGAATGCAGCCCCTTTCCAACCACGGGGGATCTCATCACGTATGCCATGCGTCACTTCACACTGAAAGAGCTTTTCGTCTGACTGCAATAAGGGTCCAACTCCAGCACACCAACTGCGCGACAGGGAACGATGACTCCGGATTGGTCTGTCGCGGAAGTTCAGGAATTCGTTCCTCAAGGCTTTGATGGGTCGCATATGGTATGATTCTGCGCCTATTGCATTTCATACTATGTTTCGACTTCTCGCAGTTGCGGCCCATGAACGCCGCAATTTGGCAGCTTCGTCGTTTCGGGCGTTGACTGATTCTTATAATATAGGCTTCCCTACAAGGAAATGGCACTTCGACCATCCCCACGACGACTGCATTTGATCCTTTTGTGACCTCGCCGAATCCACTTTCTGCTGCCAATGCCGTGGGCCCGGTTCAAGCGAACCCATTCACACATGATACAGCTGCGGCGCTGGGAGGCGCCGCATTCTTTGCGAATCAGTCCGGCTTCCAGCAACCTGTAAGTTTTATTACTCGGAGGCTTAGAAGGTCATTCACGAACCTTTTGTCGTCCAGGTTCAATACCACATGTACGCTCCAATTGGACCACACAGCCAAAATACCTTGGGCTACCAGCGGAATGTCCACGATCTCTTCCTTCCGAACGACTTCCGAGAAGAACTGCAAAAGAAAGCAGCGGCCACACTGCAAACCTTACCCAGTGAGTTGGATGACAGTTACGCACGTGAAAACACCAGCCGCTGATCCTGCACAGACACTCAGCTACCCGCTCAAGTGGATTACTTCCACTCTCTCGTCCCTCTTGACCTGAACCATCAAAAGAATGCAGCTATCTTTGGCTATCCTAGCTGGGTATACAAGGCCCAGTCCAGCAAAGACGGAAACTTTTACGCCCTTCGAAGATTAGAAGGTAGATTTCACCTCAAGCTCGACGGGTCCTGTATCACTACTGATCATTCGCCACAGGGTTCCGTCTTACAAACGAGAAGGCGATCCGATCTGTCCAAGCGTGGAAGCGGGTATGCAGCGGCAGCGTTGTGACGGTCCACGACGCCTTCACCAGCCGGAGCTTCCAGGACAGCTCGTTGATTTTTGTGACGGATTACCATCCACTGTCCAAGACCCTCGCCGAGCAGCACCTGGGCGCCGGAAATCGGTTCACCGGACGCCAGAACACCCACATCCCCGAGCAGATCCTGTGGAGCTACATGACGCAGCTCGGCAACGCCCTCAAGGCGATCCACAGCAACGGCCTCGCCGCGCGCATCATCGACGCCAGCAAGATCTTGCTGACGGGCAAGAACCGCATCCGGCTCAGCGCCTGCGCGATCTTGGATGTGGTGCAGTTCGACACGCAGCGGTCGGTGGCGGACCTGCAGCGGCAGGACCTGGTCAACTTCGGACAGCTGATCGTGACGCTGGGCGCCAACTCGCCCAGCGTGATGCACAACCCGACGAAGGCGATGGAGCACTTCACGCGCGCCTACAGCCCGCAGCTGAAGAACTCGGTGTTCTGGCTGCTGAACGGGCTGCAGAAGGACCAGGACCGCAACATCGACATCTTCATCACGGGCATCTCGTCGCAGCTGATGTCGACGTTCGACTCGGCGCTGCACCTGGACGACCAGCTGACGTCGGACCTGAGCCGCGAGCTGGAGAACGGGCGGCTGGTGCGGCTGATGACGAAGCTGAACCTGGTGAACGAGCGGCCCGAGTACGAGCACGACCGGCAGTGGGCGGAGAACGGCGAGCGCTACTTCCTCAAGATCTTCCGCGACTACGTGTTTCACCAGGTGGACGCGCAGGGTGACCCCGTGGTGGACCTGGGGCACGTGCTCACGTGCCTGAACAAGCTGGACGCCGGGTCGGACGAGAAGGTCACGCTGGTGAGCCGCGACGAGCAGAGCTGCTTCGTCGTGAGCTACAAGGAGCTGAAGAAAGCTCTGGAGTCGTCGTTCCAGGCGCTGCTGAAGCCGTCGTCGGGGCGGAGGATTCATTAGTCGGCTGGCCTAGCTTGGCTACAGCTTGATGTTAAGCTATATCGACCTGCACTTGGCATTATATAAACCGCGTCGCGCGGAGCGAATTGACCACCTATTTACCGACATTGTGTACCCTAGGGAATTTGGTTCCTTGGGCGAGTAGGATGAGACGTGGGATACCGAGGGGGCAGTTGTTCTGTCTTGCTATTTGAGGGCCATGTTGGACCAAGAACGCCCCCTCCGCCCTTCGCATTGCTGTTTGCGCATTTGGACTATCTGCCGTGGCAGTTGAAAGATATCGATGAGAGAACTAGGTAGAAATGTAGCAATTGTGATTACCATTTGATCTTAGCTTGGACACTACCATCACCGCAAGCCACAGTGCTAACCAATCCAGCCAGCACCCCAGTTGAGTAAAGCATAACCAAGACCCAAATCCCATAACTACTAGGTAATATAAGGTATATACATAAATCCAACCCAACCCAACCCAACCCAACCTCAACCCTAACCCCCTCGCCCCTCAAAAATACAAAGGATTAATCCAAATCCGGCACCGGCAACCCATTCACAATGCGGACCTTCCGCCCCAACCGATCCAGCGCCTCCTTGGAGTTCCGTGCACGCAACGCACTCGTCTCCTCGTCGGAGACGAGCACAAAGTCGTAGGTAAGGCAGGCGTGGTCCTCGGGGACGTTGTACTTGGCGGCGAGCTCGGGGCCGGCGGTGCCGATGTCGACGACGAGCGAGTCCTTGACGCCGAAGACGGCGTCGGAGGTTTCGTAGGGGTCGTTGCGGAGGTAGAGGGCGCTGTCCGTCACGTCACCCCCAGGATTCAGATTAGCATGCCAGTCCCAACCCAGCCCAACCCAGCCCCACCCACCCCAGGACAAAGGGATTATGGAAACATACGTAATCAAATGATCGAAGCCCTCCTTCTCAAACATAAAATGCATATGACTCGGGCGGTACGGATGGCGACCGAGCAGCTTCAGGAGTTTGCCGACAGGGCCGTCATGCGGGATCGGGTACGGCACGGGGGTGATGGCGTGGAACCAGAAGACGCCGTCGGCGTCGCTGCGCATGATGCAGCGGCCGTCCGGGCCGTCGTGGTCCGGGTACTGCACGTCGTAGTGGCCGGTGCTGTCGGTCTCCCAGATGTCGATCTTGGCGTCGGGGACCGGGCGGCCGGCCGTGTCTTTGATGGTGCAGACCACCAGCAGGGGCTGGCCGTGGGGGTCGTGGGACATGGCGGCGCCGGGGGCCAGCTCCTCGGCTTCGTGGGTGTGGAAGGGGCCCAGGACGGTGCCTTCGGTGCTGCCGGCGGGTTTGGGGTGGTCGATGCTGTCCACCAGTAACGACAGGCCGAGGATGTCGGAGAGGAGGATGAATTCCTTTGTCCGTCTGTTGTTAGGGTCTGGGATGCAGGGGAATGTGCTGGGGGTGCTGGGGGCGCCCTACCTGCCGCACATCCGTACAGATCTGGCCCACCTCGGTCAGGAAGCGCAGCCCCGTCATCCATTCCTCCGTGCTCAGGCGCGTCTCCCGCGCGAAGTCGTGCAGGTGGGTGACCAGCCGCTCCAGGATGTATTTCATGCGCTCGTCCGGGCACAGCGAGTTGATGCGGATCACGTTCTCGGTGATGTTGTCGATCGTGAGATCTTTCATGGCGGGGATTTTGACGAGGGAGGGGTCCATTTTGCTGGTTGTTAGCTTCAGGCGGCTTTGGCTGTACTTTGGGCTTGGGGTTATATGGAGAAGTGGAGAAGAAAGAGAGAATTCCAAGGAGTAGAGGAAAGTAAAGTGGGTGAGCTAGCTGGGTCGGGGGAAGTCTATATACAAATACGTATTCCGTAGTAGGTAGCTCCGCTAGCCCTCAGGCTGAGCTCCGCGGGGTGGATTTTCTTTCCCCACATTCTGGCGGGGAGAAATTCAATGGGCAAACCGCTGGCTCCTCACTGGTCAATGCCCACTTCAACTCAGCTGCTCCGGCTATTGCTATTTCCGTATTGCCGGCCTCAACCTAGACTACCATCCTACATCGTATACACAGCAACAATTGGATACCCTGGATACCCTGCCAGCTGGTCATGGGCATCCGATGGGTCAGGAAGCAGGCTAGACTCTAGCCCTCTTTCCTTCGCCCCGACCCATCCGATCAGCCGTGGGGGGAGAAGTCAACGGACGCAACATCCCCGCGCTGCGTGCCCTTCACTCCGCATCTGATGACATTCAAGGAGATTTCTCGATGATTGCCCACTGATGGTCCTGGCCAGATAATTGATACGCTAATACTAGGTACGTACTACAGACCATGCCGCAAGGTGACCATAGAGGTTTGCCTTGGTTATCCGTCCCAGTAAGTCACTGGCATGGCCACTGTGGGTCATGTTCGATTTCCAAGAGAACAAGCTTCCCCCCAGCGGATCACCCATCGGCAGTTCTTCATCCGCTTCGGGAATGACCTCAAGCGATGATCGACCCAAACACCACTTTCCAAGTTACTCACTCCAGAATAACCAATTCATATTCAACACTTCTTAATATGCAGCGTACGACAAACAACCGGGATATCTGCCAGACTCGCTCAACAGTACACACAGAAACAAAAACAGAATCAAGGTAAACATAGATACAAAACTCCAAGTCGCGCCGGCTCATCCCGCCAACGAAGATATACACTATGCTCGCACCAACTTCCGTTCCTGCTCGCGCTCGCGCTCCCGCTCCCGCTCGCGTTCCCGTTCTCGCTCCCGTTCGTTACTGACTTCATGCCCCTCCTTGGCGGCAGCCGCCACCCGCGCGTGGTGGTCCACCGTATCCAAGATCGCCTGCATGAGGCGCGAATTGGCATCTGGGGCGTCGTCATCCTGCGCCGAGTCAGCATGCCGATGCATGCTAATGCGTCGGTCGTGCGTCATGACGTTGCTCCCCTGGATTTCGCTCATCGCGCGACGAGGGGAGAGGTCTCTCTTGAAAGGCGTTCCCACGGCCGGACCAGCCGTCGCGGTTGGGGCCGACTCTCGTCGCGTACTGAAGTCGACATGATCATGAGCGAGCGGTCGATCCACGTCCATCATCGTCGGCTCGGAGACCGGAGTCTGCGCCGCGGACGGAGGTGCTTGCACCGCAGAGGGTCCCATGGCGGTTGCCGCGACCTCCTGGGCTGGCCCTTCCTCCATCCGCTCCCGGGAGCTGCGGTCCACCTGCGTCTCCCGCAGCTCATCTTCCTTCACATCCTTCCAAGAACACTTGGCGTGCTTCTTCGTACATCCCATACAGGCCGTCAGATTCTTTAAACAGTCCATGTGAAGACGGCGACACCGATCACAAGGGGGCATAATCCGTTCCCCACGCTGCAGCTCCTCCATGCGGGCCACCATCTCCATTTTGTGCGGGCCCCCGTCATCCTTATCATGGTGGTGGGACTTGGGCGGCGGTAGCAACGACGACGGCGTACTCGGGATGGCGACGGTGGTCGGGGCCGGAGTATACATGTTGTACTCCGACGCATCCGACGCTCGCGGGCGCGGTCGCGATGACTGCCGAGCCGACGAGTCGGGTCCTTCCTCATAGGACCGGGACTGCCGGTCTTGCGTAGTGAAGAACTTCTTCATTAGCTCGGCGCGCGTGGTCGGCGACGCGCCTTTGATAGAGGTGCCGTTGATAATCGTGACGTTGTCCGTGTTCGAGTGCGAAAACATGAATTGCGACGAGAGCGAGTTCTCCTCCACAGCAGCTTCGCCAGCGCCGGGCCGGCCGGCATTGACCGCCACAAAACCAGTGGATGGAGAGTGAGCGCTCACCGGAGCGCTGCCATTGAGGAGTGGAAGTCCATGTCCGTTCGCATCGCGCCACGCAGGACTCATCGAGCGATGTTGCTGATGTCGTTGCGAATTAAGGGACATGTCGTTTTCTCGACGGGTCACGATCGCCGTCCTCCGGTTCTTCAGGCGATGGTTGAGTTGTCGGGCTCGCGCGGATACTAAAATGCAACCCGTCAGTAATCTCATCTTCCGTGTAAATGCGTAGATCTGAGATGAGCTGACCTTGGTCGGCCACCTGGATGATCTGCTGGAGATTCTTCTCCAGTATCTCGAGCGCGCCCAGTTCCTTCTCTTCGTCTTCAATGATCGGCTGAGGCGGAATCATCTTCTGCGGCATGCCTGATGCAATCAGGACGAAATCCTCCTCGCTGATCTCCACGCGACACTGTTTGGTGTAGAATTGACACACGCGCACGCCATTGCGAGACTTCTCCAGGTTGAACTGTTCCGGTTTGTTTTTGGCAAATTCCACCACGTCTAGCCAGGTGACGTTGGGGGAATCCTTGCCGTGGGACTTGAGCACGCGGGGCGGTCCATCGAAAAGGCGCTCGAAGCGCTTGATCAGAATGGGGCCTAATGGGCAAGCGCCCAAGTTGCCGGCGATACTCTCGTGTCGGTGCAAAACGCCGTCATACTCTCCAATCAAGTGAATGATCGAGGGCATGGTATCCTCGACGGAAACCAGAGGCAGATTGTCCGGATACTGACGGGCCAGGTAGTTGATCTGCAGGTGATTGGAGGGCTTGGGGACTTTGGATGCGATAGGAGGAAAGTCGCCGGACGGCGATCGCGGCCGCTTACTGGACGGCTCAGCCGTCGCAGGTCGAGACTCCATAGTGATGATAAGAAGAGGCGGGAAGGAGAGGGAAAGGTGGTGAGGAGGGAAGAGAGAGAAGGAAGGGGAGGGGGAAGAGGGGAGAAGGGGAGGGGAAGAGATCCTAGGATCGCGACTATAGCGGTAGTCACAGAAGAAAAAAGACAAGGCGGGGAAGGGGAAGGCAAAGGGAAAGCGATGGAGCGAGCTGAGAGGAGAAAAAGGGATTATTGAGGAAATGAGTAATGGGAACGCTGGCGAAAGACAGGCTGCCGATGGCGGAGCATAAGGCTCCAGAGTGCGGGCTCCCAATCAGCCACTGGGCAGCGCGTACTGCGTTCAAGTTAGGTAATCGCGATAACCCCCAGCCGATGCAAACCGGGATGGAGGAAACTGGGATGGATGGGATGAGTGGGGGTTGGGACAAGCAGGAAGTGGTGAAAGAATGAAAGGTTGAGCGGGTAGTAAAGAAGAAGGTGGAAAAGAGGAGAGGAAACGTTGGTTAAAGGACAAGGGAGGGAGGGAGGGAGGGAGGGAGGAGGAGGAGGAGAGAGGAGAAGAGGAGAAGAGGAGCCGACGGAGAGGAAGAGGAGAACGCGACAATCGCGAGAGAAGGAGAAGCACGGAGCAGTCGAACCCAATTGTATGTACTGTACTAGCAGAAAAGAGGAAGGTCGGAAAGCGGGCAAGTTGAACTGAACCACTTAACGAATGCTTGAGAAGAAGGAAAGAGAAACCAAGGGGAGATCGGGGTTCAACCCATTTGGTTGCTTGTTGGCCGGTTGGTCCGACACGCGGGTTGTGGTTCGCAGACCTCAATCGCAGATAATCACCGCAGGGGGAAGAGAGAGGGGGGGGTGGATAAAAGAAAGAGCAGTCAGTGGATAAGAATAGAAGACGACGGAGGAGGAGGAGGAGGAGGAGGAGGAGGAACGCAAGCAAAGAGACCGACGGAGGGGATGGATGGATGGCGGAACGGGCGAGCCCGGAAAGTCACCTGCTCCATCCAGTCTGAATCCCAGGTTATTATTATCTTTCGCACTCATTCTCTTCCGATCTTCCGCAAACATTGAAGCAGGAGGAAGGAAGTACTAATTCTTTAACCTAGTAGTTATGCAGTACGTACTGTAGAGTGTCAGTTACTCCCTGGACACACTCTCCCTTAATTCCAAACCACACAAGAGTCAGTCAATCTTCTTATCATCGTGGGTGTCCTGCTGGTGGATGCGTAAGCAACAGGCAGGGGCGGAGTCCCGCCGGGCTCTTCCGCTGTCCATTCGGATGAGCCGTAACCCCGTCACTGTCACTGTCATGACCAATACAGTCGAATCAATTCGATACCATCGTGACAATGGCCACCATTGAAGATGCTTATCCACAAGCCCACTGCGCGAGGGTGCATCTTTTTTGCCCCCTTGCGGACGGACCCTCAGGAACGAAAGTACCACGATGGCTACAGGAAAAGAGTACAGAGACACGTTGCCTGGCGGTTGGATCCTGTCTCCGGGTTTGATGTCATAGGGGGGAGGGGGAAACGAACAAGCGACAGTCCGCCCCCCGTCCTTCCCTCACTAAGTGACCGATCACCACCGAATAGCTCGACTGTCTCGTCCCATGTGCTGCTAACTTACAGGCGCGCTCCGCCGGGCAGAAGGGGGGATCGTCGATTTTTCCCGTGTGCCATACGCGGACTCCGTACCACCACTCTTCGTGCTCCCATCTTGGTCTGGAGGTTGACGGAAAGGAGACGGGCGGGTATTGATGAAGCTGCAAGGTGTGCAGTATGGTACGCCGTACTCCGTAGACAAACGCATGAGCCTGACCTAAACTTGATGCCTAATGAGCCTGGAGTCGAGGTTGCCAGGCCGATATCCATCCGATTGACCGGTGTTCCAGCCACATCGATATCCAATCCCCACGCTAGACCGGGCCGGTGGTCAGCTATGGGTCAGGTATTGTCAGTGTCAACGGTGTGACCAATACCGTCTTTTACTCTTCAACCATCTGGCTACCTCTGATGTCTCAAGTGCGTGCTGTATCCTTGGTAGTCGTAGCACAGTAGAAGTGGGTAGATGAGGTGCTGAGTGGTGTGCGTTGATAGTCAGTAGCGCATCTGTGACCTCGAGCCTATGCCATCATGTTTATTTATATCCGTAAGTATACAAGTGCTGGAACTCGACCAACGAAGCCGTGAGGCTATGATGTAAAAGCAACGAGTTTCTCAACTCAACAGTAGGAGACAACTGCGTATAAGTTAGATATCAATCAAGGGTACCTAATAGAGACTCATTATTCTTCATCCTCTCGGACATTGAGTACTCCGTATATACTCCGACCCTTCCTTTCCCCAAAGGACGTAAAGGCGGTGAAGAAGGGTGGGCGGTGGGTGTCGAGCGGGAAAGCCACGGAAAAGAAAATGGTAGGCATCGAAAAGCGTACGCACGACCGCCCGGGAACCGACAACTGGTGGAGTTACTCCGTCGCGGCTGCAACCAACTTTTCAAGGTTGCGGATGGAAAATCCCTCATACTGATAACTATCACCTTTGTTGCTTCAATCACATCCATCCATCCATCCACCGAACCTCATCCCATTCCGCCCCTTTCCTCCCCCCCCTCGCCTTATCGGGTCGAAAATTTTCTCCCACTCCGGGTTACTCCAACAGATTGACCGTCTTTCCACCTCTCAAATCTCAACGTCTCCAATCTCTGGTGCTGGCCCCTCCCTTCCCCCCTTCCCCTCTCACTCTCTCTTTGAGTTAGTGACTGAAGTTACTACTGAGGTCACGGCACGTGCATCATTATCTAATCCACGCCGCTGTAATTGGACACTCGATCAGTCCAGTATACATTAGCCCCCTCTTACACGCAATTCAATTGATTCCTTTTCCCCCCAACACAGCCAAGCCATGTCCGAACGAGGCTCATTCCGAGGAGGTCGCGGCCGCGGCGGAGGTTACGGTGACCGGTCTGGCGGCCGTGGCGGGCAGGGCCGCGGTGGCGGTGCAGGTGGCGGTGCCCACCGCGACCACCGCGACCACCGCGAGCAGCAGCAGCAGCAAGAGAAGCCCAAGAAGGAGAACATCCTCGATCTGAACAAGTACATGGACAAGGAGGTGCGCGTCAAGTTCAACGGAGGCCGTGAAGGTGAGTTTGCTTTTTGACTTCCTTGTCAGCTGCTTGGTCAGCATCCCGGTAGAGTGCGAACTAACATCCCTTCCCCCAGTCACTGGTATCCTGAAGGGCTACGACCAATTGATGAACTTGGTCCTGGACGATGTCAAGGAAGGCATGCGCGGTAGGTGTTTACTCAAATAGGTCTCTATGCCAGCTTGACTAATGGGAGGGGGGACAGATGACGAGGGCAACGAGACCACGCGCTCGCTGGGGTTGATCGTGGCCCGTGGTACGCTGATTGTGTTGATCTCCCCGGCCGATGGCAGCGAGGAGATCGCCAATCCTTTCGTGCAACCGGAGGAGTAAGGGTTCCGTGGGTGGTGATTCCATGTAATGCGATTTGAAGAGCATCGGCCATGGCTTGATGACGGCCGGCTGAGGTTGATGGCCTCGATGCCCGGCTAGACCTAAGGCCGAGTAATCCCAGTTGAGTTGATCGATCAAGGCCTCTACTGGTCAAGAAGGAGTCATTCCATTTACGAAAGCAGATGAAAAGATATACCAGATGTGCTTTGTGCTTCGTGCTTCGAGCAGTGACTGTACAGTACCTTACCTGAAAATGAGCTTGCATACACTGGTCAAGTCATAGGCCATGATTGCAGCAGAATGAGTGATTAGAAAGAAAGATCAATGAAATTAACGACAATTAAGCTTCGAAGTGACATGTCATTGACATCACGGCAGGGAATGGGGTGATGACGGTGACTTCGGCGTTGCACCGCCCGGTCCAGAAGCAAGTGCCCAGTCTATCATCCCAGCTGGTCGGAAGTATATTCGACTTTTGTCAAGTATAATATCACCCGCCCCTCTTCTCCTGTACGAGACTTTCTCAAATGTAGATATTTGCTTGTGGCACATCTCCGCACGAGGCCAAAACCAAAATGAAGCATCTCCAGTACTGGGCCGTCGCGGCTCTTCCGCTGACATCCGCCTTTCTGATCCCACCCAAGCAGCAGCAGGCGATCCTCCACGAACCGAAGCCAGACCTGCAAGAGGAGCACGAGGCGCACGACCACCAGTTATTCGACATCCTCTCGCTCCTCGAGTCCGCGGTGGAAACTTACTCGCCCGTCCAGCAGATCACCTCGTGGCTCGATGAGGTAGCAGAGGCGACCAACCCCAGCGAGGAACACCTCTCGTCTCCTCCTCCGCCGCCCTTCCGCCGCCCGTCTCCGCCGCCGTATCCGCACCACCCGCCCTCCAACAAGTCACTGTACGATCTGATCTCCGAGAATCCTCACACCACCATCCTGGCCCGCATCGTCCACGACGACTCGCAACTGGTGGAGCTGCTGAACCGCACGGCCGCCAACCTCACCTTCTTCGCGCCCACCGACGAAGCGTTTGCCAAAATCCCGCATCACCACCACGACCGACACCGTCACCACGATGACCGCGACAGCTATGACGGAGACGACGACGACGACGACGACGACGACCGTCACCACCACAAACCACCCCCGGAGCTCATCCGCGCGGTGCTGAAATACCACCTCGTCTCCGCGGTGTACACGCCGGCCGAGCTCTTCCACGCCCACACGCTGCCCACCCTCTTGACCTCGCGGCTGCTCAGCCCTAAGCCCGACGCAGCCCCGAGCATTGCCCACAACGACAACGACAACGACAACGACAACGAGCAGGACAACCTCCCGCAACGCCTCAGCATCAGCACCACGCTGCACGGCCCGACCCTGAACCACTACAGCCGCATCCTGGCGACCGACAAACGCGGCGCCAACGGGCTCCTCTACACGATCGACGCGATCCTGCTCCCGCCGCCCTCCCTGCTGACGCTGACGACCATCGTGCCCACGCAATTCAGCACGCTAACACTCGCCCTCCACCGCACCGGTCTGGCAGCCCAGCTCAACCGCTCCCACCACTGTCCCCACCACCCCAAACCCAGCCCCGGAGACCCCACCCCGAAACCAACCACCAACCCCCCCTCCCCCGAACCCCTTGGAAAAAGCCCAGGCCGAGGGGGAACATACTTCCTCCCCACGAACCGCGCGTTCAGCGCACTGGGGTACAAGCTCAACGCCTTCCTGTTCTCGGAGCACGGGACCCCGTACCTGCGCGCGCTGCTGAAGTACCATCTCGTGCCGCATCGCACGCTCTACTCGGATGTGGAGTATACAAGCCACGGCAAGATCGAGGCGGTGCATGGGCTGAAGCATTTCGATCTGGAGACGTGGTTGGAGGGGCGGACGGTGCCGGTCGAGGTGGCCAATTTGGGGCCGTGGGGGGGCGTCACTGTTGCTGGGGAGCGGGTGGGCGTGAGGGATTTGGTGGTCGCGGATGGGGTCGGGCATGTTCTTACTCGCTCTGTTCTTGTTCCTAGGTGTGAGGGGGATAGTTATGGGGATGCTTTTGGGGATACTTATGGGGAGATGACGGTTGAAGAGCTGGTGGGGAGGTTGCAGGGTTTGGTGGATTTGGAGTCTGAGGATGGGGATGGGGATGGGGAGGAAGAGGCGGAGGAGGTGGTTTGGGGGCAGTTGCATGATCTTTTGGAGTTGTAGTTACTCATCTTCTGTGATTTATGGTTGCGGTTACTGGGGAGTTGAAAAGAAGGGGGGTCCGGGGGTTCTCCCCCGGGAAGCTTTACCTTGTGGATGAGAATTGAGGTTACTGGGAAGTTGAAAAGAAGGGGGTCTCGGGGGTTCTCCCCCGGGAAGCCTTCTGCCTGTATTAGGGTTATGCGGATTGTTGATATATTGACCAAAATGCTACATGTTTCATTCCACGCCACAACTCGGATTGTAAAGCGTGATCGGTACAAGGCTTCATGCCATGGCATCGCTATATAGAAGTCATATATACACAAACATCGTGGTCGTCATCATCAGCTGTCCGCTTCCACAATATCCCCGAACTCCTCGGTCTCCTCCTCGCGTACCACCGGCCGGTCCTTCACCCGCCGCAATCCATCTCCATCCTCGACCCAGGCGCCCGCCTTCTCCACCCCCTCGATATACTCCGTCCCCACCCGCAGGTTCAGCCCCGCGCTCAGCGCTCGCTCGATGCGCACCTCCCTGCCCTCCGCCACCAGCACCCGGAACACGTGCGCCAGGAACCCGCCCAGGATATCGACGCTCCACTCGTCCGGGATGATCCGCAGAACCTCCCCGACGTCGAACCACGCCGCGAACCGGCCCAGAAGATCGCTGGTCCGCTCGATGCGCTCCGACGAATCCTGGATCTTCAGGAACTCGTCCAGCAGGAACCGGAAGAGTTCGCTCTGCTGCGATCGGTCTGCGAAGGACGACGAGCTGCTGGTGGCCTGCGGACCGCCGAAGAGACAGTATCGGATGGCTGAATCGTAGTCGCCGAGGCCGTGCGTGAGGAGATGAAGAGCTTCGCGGTGGCGGCCCTGAAGACCGTCGAGAATGATGGATTCCGAGACGAGCTCGTTCTGGAAAGGTTCGATCCGAGCCAGAACGGCAGGGATGGAGAAGGTGAAGTTGCGCGACGGCATCGAGGTGAACTGGCTGCCTCCGGTGCTGCCGCCGCCGAGGAGCTGGAGGAGCCGGAGCCGGGATTGCCACCATGGTTCCGAGGGAGTGTTCACCGTGATGAAATTCATATAGGTCGGTTTCGGAGCGCTTAGAGCGCGGTAGGTGGAGTAGGATTCGGAGAGAGAAGCTCGTGCTGACGGCGACGTCTCCAGTACGGAGAGGACGGAATCAAGGTAGTATGCCAGCAGGTCATCCGCGTATTGTGTGAGCTGGAAGAGAATCAGTCAGAGAAAGCTTAGTCGAAGTACGAACGGCGCTACTCACATTTCTGGCAAAGACCAGGTGTTCCAAGTATGCTTGGACGGCATTAGGTGCTTGCTGCTTGAGAAGCGCCACGACATCGGCAGTTTCCAGCTTGACTCTGCTCGTGCCATCAGAGAATACTTGTATGCCCAGGCTGGGGTTGCGCTGGGCAAGCCACGCCCCGTACTCTTCTACCAGCTGAACGTCTTTGATCTTGACCAGGTACCGGCGCATCTGTGCCTCCGTACCAGCAATCGTGATTTCGCCGCCCAGATCTTCTTCACCGTCAATGATCCTGCGCCATGTTTTCAGGACATTGCGAGACATCTTCTGGCTCTGATATAGTCGGCTCAGAACGAACAGTCGTCGATACTGTTCCAATAGCGCCACGGCGCGGTCCAGATTGCCCTTCCAGTTATCCACAAGCCTGTTCAGTTCGATGCGTAACGAAGAGCCTGATCGTTGTTCAGGCGCAAGTTGTGCGTCTTGTTCCAGGAGTAAGTGCAGGAAAGCCGCGTCGACGCTGTCAAAGACGTAGGTCTCATCTGTGATACTTCCATAACCCCGCTTTTGCTGCCAGGAGAACAGGAACCTCTTGATCATATCCAGCACGGCACTGTCCGAGGCCCCGTCGCCCGCAGCCTTATCCAGCTGCTGCACGTAACTCTCTGTGATCTCCGCCAAGCCCGCGTGTATCCAGATCCCTTGCGGGCTCTGCAGGACCTCTCGTCGCAATAGCGGGATCAACAGGAGCGGAATACGGGGGTCCAAGTTTCCCACAATGAGAGCTCGCTCCGTAGCGTCTATAGTGGCCTCATCCCTGTGTTTTGCATCCATGAGAATCAGGTCACCAAACAGAAGCAGACTAGCTTTCTGCTTCAGGTAATTCAAGCCTAGAAATTCAGATTCGGACCTGGGCTCTGCAGCCTGAACAAGATCGATGACGTCTGTTATGGCATCCCGCTTGAGAACAGTACGCCCATCTGTATCCGGTACTTGAGCGCTCTGTAGGGCGTCATCCAGCTGCGTTGTTAGCGGGTTCTTCACTACCCGCCATATCTGATTACCATTCCACATGATAAGACTGCTCTGGGTCTGGCCCAAGGCACGTGCAAACTTGGCTTCTTCGGCATTGCGCTCTACTTCCCAGCCACGCTCGGCCTCACCAGTCCCTTCCTGGCCCTCGAATAGCTCCTTTTCTTTTTGTAGCTGTTCGATCGACGCCTGCGTTCTCGGATCGGTAGCAGGCACATGCGGTGACAGCGACGGCGTTTTCAGGCGCACCATCTGCAAGAGCTTGCCCATCTCGGCGATCTCCAGCTGACTCGGACTTATCGTATGGTTGAGTCCCACATGCGTCTGCTGCACGTCTGAAGACGGTATCTCAACCCACGTTTTGTGCTCGTCCGCTTCCCCGGGATCGACATCCCATAGTTGAACCTCCAGGAACTTGCGGCGTTGTCCTTCCTTTTCTGCCTCTATCACTGCAAGCAGCAGTTCTTCATGTGTGTTGTCGGGCGAATGAATCATGTTGTTCTCGTTGCCTTTATCGATGATAATGGATTCCGGATACTGGTGAAAGGTGATTGTGCCACGAACCACGTCGCCGTCAATGTTGACAAACATACCGACTCCAGGCTCCGACTCGTCCGTGCCCCTCACAAGCAGAAATTCCGACGGGGTCGGCGATAGAATATGGGGCCTCAGTTGCGTCGGCTTTGGAAGAAGGGGAAGTGGTTTCCTTTCCTCCGAGCTAGATTCTGGATCACGCGGTGGGTTCTCCATACTTCGCCTGGGAGATGCGCTCCCTGCGCGCTCTTTCGATAGCGAGCGTCTTGGTGTTCCCGACTCGGGCGAGAGCTCCGAGGTGGCCGAGCCTGATCGCTTGTGTCCGTGTGGTTGCAACAAGCCAGACTTTGTATTTGAGCTGAAGCTCCTTTCAAACAAATGACTCTCTGAGGTGGGCGAATGGGCGAAGAACGGGGAGGTCGGCGACTTCAAGGGCGGAGCTGTCGACACATCGTGGACTTGGTCGTTCGAGAAGGAGATTGGAAACAGCTGTATTTTCTGCTGGTTCTCCACATCGACGAGGGAGTACGAGTGTGCATCTGCGGCACAGGCGATGATCCCTCTGCGCGCGGCGACCAGGCATCCAGGAAATTCAATGTTCCTGATTCGTCGAGCTTCCTCCCCTATCCTCACTAGCATAGTACGATTCTGCGCCGCGATCATGACCACTTGCTCACTCTGCTCATCCGCGCCCGTGTTGAGATCCATTCCTCCGATCCAGGAACAATTGTTGACCTTGGTATTCCCGAAAGCCGGACTAAGCTCCGGTAGCAGGTAGAAGGTGACAGTCCCATTGCATAGGACACAAGCCTTGTTGACAGCTGGTAACAAGAGGATATGTTGTATCCCAAGCGACTTGGTCGCCGTAGAAGTGGTGTTGGCGAAGGGAATCGGTAATCGGGAAGCTAGGATAAACGACGGTTCGTTCGACTTGTCCGAGGGGTCCGGTGGAAGGCAGACGAAGTGAAGAATCTCGGCGGCAGATGTTCCAATGTATAAATTGTCATCTGGCAGAGAATTCGTCAGAAAAGGACGTGTGAATGCTCAATGGCAGAGGTCCAAAAGAACTTACTCCAATACTCAACAGTAGTGATGTGGACTTCGTCATCGTTATCGTCGGGATTCAAGGGAACCTGATCAAACAGCGATCGCAGAACATATGGAGCTGCCTTAGGAGGGCTGATCTTCCGCCGTTTGCGCGGGCTGACGCCCTCCTCTTCGGACACCATGATGAGACCAGCTCCAGTGTCGTAAGAGAAATTGTTGTTGAGGGGATGGTCAGGAACTTGGGAAGCTTCCGGGTGTTTGGCGGGCGGGCGTTTCACTACAACTGAAGGACCTCGGAGTACTTGTGTAACTTAGTATGGGACTGGCTGCCTAGGCGGTGGGCCCGAGCCGGGGTTGGCTTAGCCTGCCAGGTGGTGCTGACTCAGGGTGGGCCTTTTCTGTCAACCATCAACAGGCATGAAGTATGAAGTATGAAGTATGAATTACGATAAACCATGTCACTTTCATGCAACACGGTATGTCTCATGCAATAGCAAGGAACTGCTGACAGCTGCATGATCATGATCACCCTCATATGGCTTGCAATGGCAATCTCAGGCTGTATGAACATGACACAGGCGACTTTCAGGCCAAACAAGCTGAACCGACGTGCCTCGCCATGAGCTGGAAAAGATGATGGTAAAGATCGACATAAGCCGCACATGTGATATGTCGTAAGACTCTAGCCGGACACGTCCTCCTGTCAACAGCTATCATTGACTTGGCCGAGACGAACGTGTGCAATGATTGCTATAAATAAGTAGACAGGAGCAAGATCCGGCAATCGATCTGATCTGCATTGTACGGAGACACAAGGGAGACAGCGTTGAATCAGCGGTCATCGCGAGCCTCACCTTCTTTTCTCTCGTATCACACCAACTCCTAAGCTCATAAGCAAGAGACTCTGTCTACTTTCTTGAACTGAGCCATCTGATAGTCTAGCCATTTACTTGTTTATCATCCACCATCCATCTGACGTTGCCCGATTGTTGTTATCCGGAAGATCATCGGGCCGATCGGAGTCGCCGTGCCTCCGCATCGCATTTACGTTAACTGGCTTCATTCATTCGGTTGTCTCTCATCCAGAAAAGCGGTAATACCGGGTGCAGTGTTGGATGGGGGTTGCTGTGCTATCTACTGGAACACTGAGGCGGGTCAAGTATTCTACACGCAAAAATGGATGCGTTCGCCATCACGGAAGCCATTGTCCCTGAGACTAGTCCTCAGGAGGGCCACGAGGCCGAAAAGGCCACCACCGGCAAGCTTCCCGAGGGCGCAAACAAGTTCCAGCGGGCCATCGCAGCCTGGAGAGGTGTGTCGCACCGTCTCCCCATTAAACACAGCCCGAAAAGCGAAGCGCTAATCTCTTTGACCTCTATCAGGCATCGATCTCGCCAACACCGTCGCCAAGCTAGACAGTACCGCTTCGGATATCGTTGCGCAGCAACGCGACGCCCTCGTGCAGAGGAAGGATCTCGCCCAGAAGACAAAGGACTTCCGGAAATTGGATGATGCCTCGAAATTGGCAGAATACAAGGGTCTCTTGAAAGGTCGGCTGCGTTGACACTGCGGATCTCCATTGCGTCACGGCTAACGTACTGTATAGCTTATCAAAGCTTTATCGATCTCTTGACAAATCAGGGGAAAGCCTCCTCGTCCGCGTTCCTACAGTTGTACTCGTCTCTCTCCGAAGCACCCGACCCGTACCCCCTTCTCGAAGCCTCCGTCGATTCTCTGGTTCATTCCGAGGAAACCGTCCCCAAATTGACCTCCGAGCGGGACCAACTACAGGGGTCCGTCGATCGCCTAACATCGCAGCTCGAGGATACTGAAAAGCGCCTGGAGGAGGAGCGGACAGCTCGGAGAAAACTAGAGGAGGGCCAAGAAACGAAGATCAAAGAGGTCGAGGAGTCCTGGTCAGCGGTGTTGTCGGAGAAGACCAACAACTGGACTGCCAAGGAGAAAAGCTTGGAGGAGAAGGTGGAGCATCAGGAGCGCTTGGTTAAGGAACTCAAAGCGAGCTACGAGGTATCACAGCGACTGGGACAAGATGGCGATGACGGCGAAGGCGTTCAGCATGGTGCTAGTGCCGCTGAGTTGGAGCTGGTTTCCGCGGAGTTAGAGAAGACAAGCTTGCGCCTAGCAGAGGTAGAGGCACGAAACGAACAACTCAGGCTCGAGCTGGCTCAGGCCGTCTCTCATTCTCAGGCCGAACAAGCTGCCTCGGTGGAGGATGACCCTGCATACCTACGTCTACAATCCGAGAATTCTTCTCTCCTACGCAAATTGGATGCGGCCCGGTTTGACAGGGAGTCCGAGAGACATTCCTGGGAGTCGAAGTACTCCCAAGCCGAGAGACAGATCAAGAGTGCCACTGCTGAGAAGGAAGAACTGCGCTCGAGATTGGAAAAGGTGGCCGACTACGAAGATATTCGTCGGGAATTAGAGATGATCAAGGTAAGCATCATACATCAAATCCAAGTGGGGTGATTGCCACTAACGTTGAACAAGTCTATCGAATTCTCGCCGGGAGATGATGACGAAGCTGGAGATTCTGCGGACTCCACGAGCCCTACCAACGGCACAGCAACCAAGGCAAAGGAGGGTTCCAAAAATAGCCTGGAGCAACTATTGCTCGCTAGGAACAAGAAGCTGACTGACGAGCTCACCATCTTGCGTGTCTCACACCGGGACCTCCAGGGTCAGCTCGAGGCCCTGCGGGCCGATCTTTCGACAACCAAAGAGGAGCTCGAAAAGTCCCAGAAACTGTCCACGACTCTGGAGAACGACCTTCTTCGTGTACAAGAGGAAGCCGCAAATGCGTTCCCATCATCAGCTATGTCCGTTGCCGGGACCTATACGTCTAAATACCCCCACTCATCCCGGAGAGGAGGGGCGGTGTCACCTACATCTTCTATCATTTCAGGCTTCGATCAGTCCGCTGCATCTGCCAACACTATGGACTCCATCCGGGCAGGCGAGGCCGTTGGCGGAGGCTCCGGTCTCTTGCCGATGATCCAAGCGCAGCGTGATCGCTTCAAGAAGAAGAATGCCGAGCTAGAGGAAGAGCTATCCAAGCTGTACGGCACGGTAAAGTCCCTGAGACAGGAAGTTGCTTCTCTGCAAAAGGACAACCTCAGCCTTTATGAGAAGACCCGCTACGTGTCGACATACAACCGCGGCCCGGGTGGATCGTCATCCGCATCTGCGTACGCGAACAAGCCGAACACTTCCTCCGTCCACGCCAGTGCAGACACTCCGTCGGGACTCTCTCTCGACCGCTATCAATCCGCCTACGAAGCCCAGATCTCACCCTTTGCAGCCTTCCGTGGCCGCGAGTCTGCGCGGGCATACAAGCGCATGTCCTTGCCCGAGCGGATTGTGTTCTCGTTGACGCGCATCATCCTCGCCAACCGGACCAGCCGCAATCTCTTCGCTGGATACTGCGTGGCTCTACATGTCTTGATCTTTGTCATGCTGTACATGATGAGCTCCATGGAGATCGAGAAACATAGCGCCGCAAGTCTAGGTGCCGCCGCTGCGGCAGCAATGGCCGGCGGAGGCAGTGGGGGAGGCGGAGGCGGCGCCGGAGGGGGCAGTTTCGCAGGCCAACAGTTACATGGGGATGATTGGCGACAAGAGGGCTTCAGCCAAGCCGGCGTCAATTGAGACCTAGCACGTGGAGTCTTGCCACATACGTTTCTGTATTCTATCGAGGGCGTTGGTGGGTCCAGGTCACGGTCATGAATTGGAATTTTCTTTTGTTTGATGTGAATACGCGAGGCCTACATACAGCATCGATATCATTATCGCTTCATGCTGGTCGATCCCAACCCTCCGCATAATGCCCGTCGGTCCGGAAGTCCGTCGGTAGACGTAGACGACTAGAGTAGCGTGTGTTTCTTTTTATATCACGCCTTCTCCACTAGTAAGAGTAGACTAGATACTGCCAGCCGGATTATCTGTGATATAGAGTATAAGCGTGCGAATGACATGTGATACGTTTGTTGCGCGATTTGGTGAGAACCCTGAGAGTGGTATAGATGCATTTCAGGAGTAAAAAACTGATATTGTATACTGTGCACTGTTTACACCTCCACGCGGCAGGAAATGGTGACATCAATGGCCAGCATCAGCATACTTTCCTTACCAGATAATGGCATTGGCAAACCTCACGATGAAGTCGACATGAATCAACAAGTCAATTTACACCCCTGCGACAACAGTAGGAATATGACCACAGGTTAGGCAGTGGGTAAGCTAGCGTTCCCTCCACTCGAAGGTGTGACGAACATGAACACTGCATGGGTGGATGCATGGACAATGACTGCAGATGAACCACCTCCCAAGAGCCAGTGCAATCCACAAGAAAACGATGTATAACCACGCTGCACGGGGCGAAAAGGGACCACCGGCATGTGAATGGCCAAAAAGGGGTGGGTCGATCAGCAGGTTCCTGTCTGTCTTCCTGTCCTGTTCAGTCACCTTCGACTATTTCCCTCTGCATTCTAGCGGTAGCTACCGGATACCATATCATGATGAAGGGCCATTGAAACATCTCTCGAAGCGTAAGGTCACATCGCTCCGATTCTTGATTAGACACCATGAACAGGAGAGGTATCGCAGACACCCTCAGAGCCACAGGATCATGCAACCTGTTAGATAGCCATGGCTCATCCACTAGCTCGAGCAGTGACAAGTCATGGCCCCTCTCCCGGCTCGAATGACCGCAAGTGACTTCACGATCAAGCCAGACAAAGAGCGGAGCAGAGTCGCGATAAACTCAATTCCACCGAGTCAAGCGAGATAAAAGAAGGTGGGCCACCTGCGATCAGACCTATTCCCAAGTCTCGTGCTGGCTTTGCATTGAAGCCCCGCGGAGGTCCGACTACTATATGGCTCCGAGACGGATTGAAGAACCCCTCTTGGGGACTAGGCGCCCAGAAATTGTCAGAGGGGAAGACTCAGGGCCTTGTCAGGTGGGCAACGTTGAGACTCTGAATGACGCAGACGGATGAATGAATGCCTTTCATCATCTCATTGTGTGTCAGGGATCTACATGTTTGAGTGAGCTTGCCAGATGAAAGGATGTTGATACCAGAATCATGTGTTCCAGGGTCTCCAATCTCTCTAATAAGGAGCCTGGCGCTGCTTTGCGAACGGCGAGACCCCTGGAAGACACTTCAGCGGTGGTACTGTAGCATAGTGGCGAGATGATTGTGGATAGGGATTTGGATGCTTCCTCCCCC